TTAATTACGTTGACTTTTCAATCTACTAAATTTGGTAAATAGGATACCTTATATAATAAGTATAGATACAAAAAAATAACATGCCAAAATGTTAAAAAATAATTAATGTATTTTAATTTATTATCTAGCCATCAATAATATCATTTAATGATGTGATCATTATCTCTTAAACGATAAATAAAATATTAATTTAAAAAAATATTTGTTTTTTATATACTCAAATAAAAATTAAAAAATACTATCGACAAATATGAATTATAATATATATCAGTAAAATCATTGCAGAAGTTAATAAAATTATTTAAGAAAATAATCTTTTTGATCATATTTGAATAGGAAATGTATATATGCAAGCAATTAATGCATATAGTAAAAAATTTCTAAATAAAGTATGCACTAAATGTGAGTTGACTTTTTTTGCTACTATTTTTGGTAAATAGTATGGCTTTTAATATAAGTATAGATTTTGACATTATCAACTATTAACAAAATAAATATCGTTTTGAATATTTTGTACATTTTTTTTCATTATCACCTTCATCTAGTTAATAAATATACTATGTCTTTTCATATTCACTCATCTTTTGTCAAAACATTCATCTCTATCCTCATTAATGAAGGTTATTATTGGCAAAAAAATATTATTAATAACTGTGCAACTTTTAAAAACGACACTTATTATAAATAAGAGAGAGTATTATTTTCTAATTAATAGATTAACAACTATTCAGGTCATCCACAACCCTAAACACAACTCTTGTTTGTTCAATAAAAAATTAAGACACTTTATTATCCATGGCATATGTACATCATCTTTCCACTAAAACCTCTCTCCATTTAAACATACACTTATATTCATATTCATTCATTTAAATACATATATGAGACTTATTATTCATTCATTCAATATAAATTTTAATATTCTATTTTCATAAAAATAAAAAATTAATATTTTTAAATTATAATGATAAATTTTAAATGCATGAAAATAAAATAACACTACAAGACTAAATTAACTTCAATTAAGATTACACAAGAAAAAATAGTACAATTGAAAACAGTAACTTTTTTAGTTGGTGGCAAAATGAGTCCAAATATGCTCAACAGTCGGCACAAAGTTGATGATGCATTGTGTTATCTTGTATCTCTGAAATTCTACAAATATAGTTTTGAAATTATCGATTTGAACCCTGTACAGGTTGTGTGGGCTCTTCATCCTCGTCATTGTGTCAATGTGTTACTACATATCTTTCATCTTCAACAATCATATTGTGTAGAATAATGCATGTCAACATAATAAATTTCAGTATTCTTCTATACCAAAACCGAGGAGAACCTCTTACAATTGCTCATCGAGACTGAAGAATCTCAAATGCACTTTTCACATCCTTTTGAGAAGCTTCTTGTTTTTTTTTTTTTTCTAAATAACTTTCTTTTAGGATCTGACGGGCAAGGAAAACACTTTATGAATGTATCCCATTCTTGATATATTTCATCTATAAGATAATACTCATTTGCATATTGCATGCCGTTGACAATAAAATGCACGTTAGGTGCATTTCCTTGAAATACATTATCAAATAGAGGAGATTCATAAAATACACTAATATCGTTATGTGATCCTGCAACACCAAGAAAGTCATGTCATATCCACAAATTGTGTGAAGCAACTGCTTTAAGGACAAACGTAGGAGACCCATGCCCTCTTGTGAATTGGTCTTTCTAAGCAACTGGATAAAATTTTTATTCTCAGTGCATACAATCAAGGCTTCCAAGCATACTCGAAAAATCTTGATTTTCTTCATGCATTTGGAGGAGTCTTTGGACATCGCTAGTGTTCGGTCTTCTCAAATATACATCACCAAAAATTTGAACCACAGATATTTGATAGCGGTTGACTCTCCCATACGTAAATACTCATCAAGGTGGTCAGTTGGGACTCCATAAACGAACTGACGAATAGTTGTTGTGCATTTTGGAAGTGTTGACAAACTTGTCACCTTGTCTTTCTAATGCATCAGTGTTTTGCTGGAATAATGATGATTGTGTCTGAAGCACATTCACAATTCGAAGAAATAATTCCCTTCGCATACAGAAAAGTCCACGAGAAATATGATCCGGGTAGACTGGATGGTCAGAGAAATAATCACTTACAAGTCTGTCATGCCCAACTTCACGATTTCTCTGGATAAATTTTCTTCTTCTACGATCTTCAGTTTCATGTTGATATGCTTGAAGTAACTCGTGGCTTCATTGAACGATTAACGAAATCATTTTAACTTCCAGATCGTTAGTGTCATCACCATCTCTACTGTAGATGGATGATGATGAATTAGACCCGGACCTATAAAAGTTTTGAGATACTTTTAGAGGATTCTAATTAAATTTAAAGTGTGTAACTATGATCTGCATAATGACAAAAAAATATGTAAGTGTGCTTTGAATATATCGACATCAACATATATGTATATTGACCATTAATTGAGTTATCAAATTTGATATAGCCCAGTTATCATAACCCGGTTCAGGCGTTGATTACTCGACTCGACAGACGTTGCCAAGGATATTGTCAAGACGATATCTCCAAAGTTGACATGGCCTATCGGTCATATGAGGATCACCACCGGTCTAGGGACGATCCGAGGACGACTTTAGGAAGTCGACTTTGGATAAGTCGACTTACACGCTAGAAGGCGAATAAGCATTCAGAGAGCCTCAGATATACAAACGTGACCATAGGTCGACTCGACAAGGCTCCGAATCGACTTATAGGACCTCTAACGACTCACATTTACCTCAATATGGTAGCAAGGCCTCCTGAGTTAGAGAATCTGTCTGAGATAAGAAGGAATCTAGGTGCTGACTCAGGGAGTGGGCAGAATGCGAACCGAAGCAGGGCATTTTGGACACTTCATGTAAGTCGGCCAGGGCATTTCAGGTATTTTCAGTGAGCATTTCTACCCTTATATAAAGGAGTATAGGTGACTCCAAACCCTAACTTTCACTCTCTCCATTCATTATTCAGCTACTGCTCATACTGAGCAGAGCTCAGCTTCTTCTCTCTCACTGACTTGAGTGTCGGAGGATCTTCACCGGAAAACACTTCTAGTGTTGAGTTCTTGCAGGTGTTCGTGGCGGTTCACGGACGACTTGGAGATGATTCAAACAGACCGGAGCCCATTTCCACCGGTTCACTCCAGATCTAGGAGGAGACCCATCAAATTGGCGCCGTCTGTGGGGAGTTCTTGAAGGAAGTAAGAGCTTTGCACCTAGTTCCGATCTGTTTGACATGGCGGAGAAGGAAGGACTGTCGAGAAATCTGAACGAGGACTTTCGGGCAGCGTGGATAGACAAACGGCCGCCGTCGATTCCTGGCCCTAGACCACCACTTCAGGTGCTCGGTTTTCTCGCCATTCGGAGGGCACGCGCCGTCGGGAGCGCGTAGGGAGGAAGAAACACCCATCACACCACCTGGGGTGAAGATTCCAGGGCTAACACAAGGAGGATCTAGCCAGACAAGGGCCACCGACACGGGAACCGACGAGAATGAGTCGACCAAAACGACTTTGAGCTTGGGAAAGCAGTCTGAAATGCTGGAGCAAGGGGCGAGACCACCACCCCAGGTCGAGGGGCAAACGATGACTATGACAAGGAGTGAGATGCAGAGAATGATTGCGGAGGCGGTGGCAACCCAACTCAAACAGGTGCAAGTCGAACCGCCCGGGGTCGAGCAACCCAGAGTCGAACAACATAGGGTCGAGTTGCCATCCCGTGATCACGAGCAACAAGCCCAGTCCAATGACAGGCAGATCAGAAGGGTGGAGGAGGAAGCATCCTCCATTAGGACTGCCAATCCGCAGGCGAGAGATGAGACACTGGAGCAGTTGCTGGCCCAAGTTCGCGATTTACAGGCCCGAGTCGAGGGGAGGAAAGTTGGAGGCTCAAGAGGACATCCATTCTCGCAGCACATTCTGGATGCCGACCTGCCGCAAGGTTTTCGTGATCTAAACATAAGTTATGACGGGTCTACTGACCCATCCCGTCATATGAGGAGTTTCGAGAATATGGCGGTTCTGCATCGTTATAATGACCCAGTGCAATGTCGAGCTTTCTTG